AAATTGCACGAGAAGGTGGTTGGTTCAATTGTGCGAATAAGAATTCCTAGTGGTGATCAAAAGCAAGATATTTATAGGCTTGTCCAAGTCGTAGGTATTAGTAACACAACCAATGCTCCAAGTTATTTATTATATTTTCACAATAAGTCATGCAATATTTGTATTGATGACATCATTGTCTGCAGGTACCAGCAAGGTTGCTGAACCTTATAAAGTTGGCACAAGAACAACTGATGTTAAACTTGAGATCTTGAACTTAAACAAGAAAGAGATTATATCAATTGATGAGATCTCTAATCATGAGTTCTCCCAGGTCAGTGAACTTATTTCCTGCTCTCCTCCCAGGGACAGGGTTCCTTAATATATCTTATCTACGCATGCTAGAATTTTCTTTTTTCAATAATTCTTTTGGAACTGAAGGTTAAAAATACGTGTGAATTAGTTTATATATCAATAATGAAAGTTCTTGGAGCCCAATTATTATTTGTGCCCACCTTTTTTCAGTTATGTGAACTATAGCATGAAAGGATGCTGGGGAAACGTTTACACGCACCATTAATGACTGACCTGAAACCTATATGCACACTATTTTCAATCCTTTCTTAACATGGAAAATAATGATATAACCAAAAAATACATTGATTAAGGCATGCTAGTGTTTACATATACAAGTTTTTTTTGGTCACAAGACAGTCTGTTGAGGTGTGTTGATCGTGTTCAGATACTTATTCCCTTTCATCCCCTCTTATTCAATTCGGACATTTTACTTATTTTCACAGGATGAATGCAAACGATTACGTCAAAGTATAAGGTGTGGACTCAGCAAACAGTTGACTGTGGTAGGTTTGCATGTTATGTTCTGTTGTATGTCATGTGCAAGATATTTGCAACTCTTTTTACAAAGGAAATTTGTGCTTGGTGTAGGGTGAGATTCAGGAGAAAGCAATGGCACTTCATGCAATTAGAGTAAATGATGTAAGTTTCGTTACTTTTAATGCTGAGGCAAGAAGAGAATACATATGTGTTTTTATGGAAGGATTTTAGATGATTTTTCTTTTCCCTTTTTAGTTAATAATTATACTGCCCCATTTAAGTATATTCATTGGCTTTTATTGTTTCTTCTAAATAAATCAAGTGCTACATCTGATATTGCTTTTTGGTTGCCAATGGTCTTGCTCTATGATCTAGTGTCTGGATGCAGAGGTATTACGGATTAGTCACCTTCGCGATCGAGCAAGTGAAAAAGGACGCAGAAAAGAATATCCTTTTTTGTTGATTGTTCAATGCTTTTAGTTTCTATGTAGACATTTCTTGCACTTTGTTGTGGTTGTTCCAGTTGCATTCTCTGTTTACTTGTTGATTACATGTAGCACATTACTTAGTATGAGAGGCCGTTTCATGGGTACCTTGTGTACTCTAATCCTCGTACTGTCTTGTGGCTGAGGTATTTTGGTCTAAGAATATCAAGTTTTCCTTGACCATAGTGTACGCTTAGGCAATGCGTGGAGAAACTACAGCTTCTGAACTCGCCAGAGGAACGTCAGCGCAGACTGAGTGAAATTCCTGAAGTACGCCCTGATCCTACTATGGATCCAAGTTGCGAATCTGAAGACAGTGCTGGAGCATTCGATAAGAAACAAGGTCCCTTACATTGATTTAATAGACATGGAATAACATCTTATCCGTTTCTAGTTTTCAAGGCTTCTTTTGGAAATGTTAATTTGGTGTTACTTGCGCTGATGTGTATGCAGATGCTAAAGTAAGACCAAGAAGATCTGGTAGAAGGGGAAGGGAACCTTTCTCGCAACCAAGGGAAGGTGATACTTCAAGCAATTCAAGAAGCAAGGGACGGAAAAATTCGGGCAGAGAAACATTTGGAATTAATGGACGCAATACAAGAAGGAGCCAGGTCAATCTCACTGGTTTGGTGTCTTTTGATGGGAATAATCAATCAGCAGTTGAATCTAATACACTTTCTGAGGTTGCATCAGAAAATTCATCATTGCCCTTATCTATAGTGACGAATGCGAACCTATGTGTTGATGATTTTGAGGCAGACATAATATGGCACTACCAGGACCCCACTGGAAAAGTTCAAGGACCATTTGCACTGATGCAGTTGCGTAAATGGAGTACAGCTGGGCACTTCCCTCTTGATCATAGAATATGGAAGATAAATGAGAATCCAGGTGACTCCGTTCTTTTGGCCAATGCATTGAATGGACAGTACAAAGAACCATTATTGCCGCATGACAGCCCGTTACTTTCTCAGGGATTTACAGTTGCCTCGGATGATAGAAACAATGGTCAGGATGATGGAAGGAACAAGAGTATGAACCCAGCTGGAGTGGATGATAAACAGGTTGAAGAGAGCTGGAACATGAAGCAGGATGGCCAAAGTTTGCATAATAGTGAACTTGCAAGGACCACTGCACTTGCAGATGTTGTCAATTCTAGTGATGAACAAAATAGAATCGTTTTGCAAGGCCAGGTTCCATTGAAGGATAATAATTCTTCACCTAACCAACCCCAAGAGAGTAGTTCACAACCTTCTCCACCTGTGATGCCATCTGAAACCCTGTTGCATCAAGAAGGGGAAAGTAGAGGAGCAGAAATTAACTCTGATCAGACGAATGGAAATTTGGATCCCCAACAAACTGCTCAAGGTCAAATTGCGAATGGACAGTGTAATGAGAGCCGATCTGATAGTGATGGCCATTCAGGCCAATCTTCAGGGCAAAACTGGAGACCTCCACCTGTAAGCAGTCCTTCAAACGGCTGTCATTCCAACTCGACTTTTGTTCCTTTCGCTAAATCATTTGAGAGTGCAGAACAAGATCAGAAGGAACATAATTTTTCAGATATGTCCAGTCCCACTCCAAAACCAAGCAATGGAGACTTAAGAAGTCAGGCTACTGAAAATAGACAGTTTGTGCCTTCAAATGCTCCTGTTCAGGACGCTGGCCATAGCTGGAGCACTTCTTCTAGTTTAGTGGGCGGTGGGGCACCACTTCCGGAAGTAGGTGGTGACTGGGGTCGATATTCCCCTACTCCAGCTAAACCATCTTCTATAGAGGAATGGGAATCCAGTCTTGTCTCTGCATCTTCTTTTAAACCAAGCGAGATGGATCAGTTTACAGAACCAACTGAATTTTGTACTTTACCTGATGAATCAGTTTCAGATCTTCTGGCTGAAGTTGAAGCAATGGAGACTCTCACCAGCTTGGCTAACTCAACTTCAATCATGAACTGTCGAGGGGAGTTTACAGAGGGTTCAAAAAACGGTAGTATCAGTTCTGTAGATGGATTTAGCCCAGCACCCGACCCTGGAAAAGGTGATGCTTTGAGCTCCACTGGTGATTTACGGGGTTCCATGGCGGCAGATGAACCACTTGGGGTACGTCAGGGAAATGCTCTTGATTTGAGCTCCACTGGCGATTTACAAGTTTCCATGGAAACGGAGAAACCAGTTGGGATATGTCAGGGAAATGCTCTTGATCTACAAAACAGATCTGGTGTACATTCGTCCACAAGCCCTGGAATGGAGGGAGACAGAAAGTACAGTGATGTTTCAGTTAACCAATTTGAGGCAGGGACAGAGATACGAACCACTGCACCGTCGGACATAGGCAGTACAGACAACCATTGGAATGGTAGGTCAGAAAGCACAGGAAGGAGTTGGGAAGCAGTTCAGCCGGTTCCGAGAAATGCAAACATGGGATGGGGAGGACCAGACCAAGGAAGTGTAAACCTGGGTTGGGGAGGTGGTCAGGGCATAACACATGGAAACACGAGCATACATCCAGGTCATCAGTTGCCCGCCAGGGGCATGTGGGAAAGCCAACCAAGATACGGTGAGGAAAGATTCTTCAGTCCAAGAGATCGTGGTTTCCAGAATAGGGATTTAGGTATCGGTAGGGGTAGGTTTGGATGGAACAGGCAGACATTGTATGGGAATGGAAACGGAAACGGAGGTTCGTTCAGGCCTCCCCCCAAAGGGCAGCGGGTTTGTAAATATTACGAAAGCGGGCACTGCAAGAAGGGAGCGTCGTGTGGTTATTTGCACCCCTGATTTTGGGTCTCAAACAACAAAATTAGACACATTTAATTCTGTATTCATTGCTCATTATGAGGAGACTGCTTAAGTGAATAATTATTTTTTTGGGATTAGATTTAGCATATTAATTTAGAGTACCATAATATTGTGGTATTCATTCCATGTTTCATGTACTATCTGATGAACAAGCAATGACGTCCACAATGGACCTTTTACCCAACTCAACAATTAATTCCTTGTGTTTTCTTCTTGTGCATTTTGCTAAGTTGCTTCATCTTAAATGCCAACTCCATCCAATCATGCCTTAAAATAGGGTTATGTTTACCGTATCAAATTTAGGTGGTTTAGTAATTCGTCGTTAAAAATCACTCATGCGTGCTTTAGCGACGTTATTTCTAATTGTGGGTCATGTACACTTGTAATGATCTATAATCATAAATCGCTTACACCCGCATGAGTGACTATGCACACTATGACATGCAATATAACTTAGTGAGGAAAGAGATTTGTTGACACTTTAGATATGACTCACGGTAACATCTCAAACCTACCAGACTGTCACAGTCACATATAACAATCTATTATAAATGAAGATGGAAACATTAATTGTTTTTTGTTTTTTTTTTTGTTTGAGAACATCAATATTTTATATTAAGAGGAGGGGGAGTTCGGCTAAGCCACATAGTAGGCAACCTAATTTGGTATCGAATTCTCTATTCACGAGATTCAAACCTAAGACCTTTCATTTTCAAGCGAAGATGAATACCACTAGAATGTAGTACTGAGTGGCTGGAAACATTTTTTTTTTAAAGGGAAAGAAATAAAATACTTTGACTTTTTATTTATTTTATAAAAATGAAATTATTTGACTTAAGAAATTTCATGAAATAAATAAAACTATATAAAATAAACAACATGAATTGACATGTATATCAAATGTATCGAAAACAAGTCTTCACGTTGCCGCGTGGACAAGCAATGTAGAAGTAGTCAGGACAAATTTCAGGATTTCAAAAAAATTTCAGTTCATTCGAGGCTTCAGGTGGCATCACTCATGGCCCCGCCGTCGTATCTGACGCCGACGCAGCGGTACGCCGCCGGAGCTCTGTTCGCGTTCGCTCTTCATCAGGCTCAGATCCACCAGACGCGCCCTCTGCGATTGTCATCACAAGAAGAAGAGTCGACGGAGGAGCGGACCAGCAGCGTCAGCAGCGCCGACTCCGTCTCCGACGACCCGGATCTCTGGGTCCACGAAAACTCGGGTCTCCTCCCACCCGTTTTCAGGTCCACTTTCTTCTTCAATTTTGAGTTTTTTATTTTATTTATGTATTTGAGGTGATCGTAGAAAATTTTGGTTGCCCTGTTTGGGTGCTGAGATTGTTGGGAATTTAGGACAGTAATTCATATTTAGGGATTTGAATTCTAGGGTTTTGATTACCTGAGGCATTGTGAATAGGTTTCTGGAGATTGATTCTGCAGCATGGTCTGGACTTCAGGAGAGTGCTGCTACTTCTCCTGCTAGCCATCATGTTGGAGCTGTAAGTTCGTTTGTTGCAATATCTCGATAAACAATTTATTCGGGGTTTTTCAGGTTTCGGGTTTCGTTTTTGTTATTGATTTTGATTTTTGTCATAGTTCTTGAGGTTGCTTGCTGAAGAAGGTGGTCGTGATGGTAAGGATGCTTCAGAAAATTCAGATCAAGAGCTTGCGTTGTCAAAAGGTATTGACGCTATGGCGTCTAGCATGGAAAAGGATCACGAGTCTTCCCAGTCGAAGATGGAAAAGCATCGTGAATATGAAAATGAATGTCGCGAGAAGTTCTCCACAACTGAGGTGAAAGAGAACATTGAGGCGGCGGATGGGAAGTTGGGAACTTCACAGGAGAAAGGGTCCACAGCTGTGGTGAAGCAAAAAAGGGAAGATGTGGATGAGCATTTGGAGAAGCTGATGGAGAAATGCTCCACAGCTAATGTGAAACAAAAAATTGAAGAAGTGGACTCGCAATTGGAAAATCTGCACGGGACTGGTGGTAATCTGGTTAGGGTTAAAGACGCAGTTGTGTCTACCAGTGACATTCGTGACAAAACTATTGGAGAGTTGACAATGCTCAGTTATGAGAGGAAAGTTACAGTTCTCTATGAACTTCTTACAGCTTGTCTGGCTGATAAACGTGAAGAGAAGAAGAAATGTACCCGTCGGAGAAAGGGTTACGATGCTCGGCATCGTGTAGCTCTGCGTTTGCTAGCAACTTGGCTTGACGTCAAATGGATGAAAATGGTATGTGTACTTGTCCCTCTGAGTACCCTATTCCAGATATGCTTAGGTAGATAATGTTCTTACTTATGTTAGGTGTCTAGAAGGATGATCAATATGAAAAGAAACCTCGGCATTTTTATCATTAATGATGACGATCAGATTAGTATCTTATTTTGACACAAATTGACCGTAACTGCATTCCCTGATTGTTTATGGTGATCTTTTATGATTCCCCCCCCCAAAAAAAAAATTGCTTTGTAGGAAGCCATTGAGACAATGGTTGCTTGCTCTGCAATGGCATTAGTAAAACAAGAAGAAGAAAAAGAAGGAACCCAATCACCAAAAGACAAATGGGCTAAATGGAAGCGTGGTGGTATCATTGGTGCTGCTGCAATAACTGGAGGAGCGTTGTTGACAATAACTGGTGGTAATAGATCCTAAAGATTTTTTCCTTGTTGCTGGTGAATTTAATTTCCTATCAGATTTATAGGTTTTGGTTCTGCATTGCAATTCATGTAGTTTTACTATTCTGCAGGACTAGCAGCCCCCGCAATTGCTGCAGGACTTGGTGCTCTAGCTCCAACATTGGGCACTATCATCCCAGTCATTGGAGCAAGTGGGTTTGCCGCAGCTGCAACTGCTGCAGGATCTGTTGCTGGTTCTGTTGTTGTTGCTGCATCATTTGGAGGTGATTAAGTGGTTAAGTTTTTGTTTTTGGGGGCTTCTTTTAGAATCTTTGGATTTAATATTTTGTTTATGTGGGAAATATCTTCATGATTTATATAGATTTTCTTACTTAGTTAAAAATGTTTTCTACAAACAGTTTCATATTTCATATTGCTGTTTTGCAAACTAAATTATGGATTATTGCTCATTCTGTCCAATCAAGCTGCTGGAGCTGGACTCACAGGGAGCAAAATGGCTAGAAGAACTGGAGGTGTCGATCAATTTGAGTTCAAAGCTATTGGAGAAAATCATAACCAGGGCGTGAGTTTGGCTATCCTCTCTCTCTCTCTTTCTCACACACACATAGAGATATATTTCTCTATCTATCTATCTATCTATCTATCTATCTATCTATCTATCTATTATTGCTTCAAACTGTAATTTTACTCACTTTATGTTTCAGAGGCTAGCAGTCGAGATCTTGGTTTCAGGATTTGTGTTTGATGAGGAAGACTTTATGAAGCCTTGGGAGGGACATGATGACAATTTGGAAAGGTACAGTCATTTTACCACTCTCCAACATGTTTGAAAAACTTGAAATTACATGAGTGTTAATCCATAAATGGAATGAATAGACGATTTATCTATTTTGACCTTAATGAATCTATAGGTATGCAGTGCTCTGGGAGTCTAAGAATTTAATTGCAGTGAGCACTGCAATTCAGGATTGGCTTACCTCAAGTAATTATTTTGGACCCATGGCTACTATTTTTTTTAGTACTACTATGATGATAAAAGTTGCCCGGGGTAATGATTTTGCCACTGGTTGATGTAGCACTTGCAATGGGTTTGATGAAGCAAGGTGCAATGATGACTGTGTTAGGCACTCTTGTAACTGCATTTGCTTGGCCAGCAACATTACTTGCAGCTACTGCTTTTATAGACAGCAAATGGGCAATTGCCGTGGACAGGTCCTTTTTCTCTCTTACTGGGAAGAGTGGGGAAACCTCTCGTTTCAGTTACTTCCTATTTACATATGGTTTCCAAAAGCTGTTGTTATGATTGCAGGAATTATTCATTAGATGGTACGAAGCACTTTGTGATGAACCGTCCTAAGAAGATATTCAAGTTTTAGTAATTACATAAGTAGTATTTGTCATGAATTAATAGCTAGACAGCTAGTTCTACTTTTTTTTTTCAATTCCAGGTCAGACAAAGCAGGAAAGCTTCTTGCTGAGGTGTTACTAAAGGGAGTTCATGGGAACAGGTATATATCGTAACTTCAAAGCACTAACATTCCTGAAAAACCAATCATAACAAAACAAAAATCCATTTTGTGAATTTCAGGCCTGTAACACTTGTGGGTTTCTCACTTGGAGCACGAGTAATTTTCAAGTGTCTCCAGTGTTTGGCAGAAACTGAACATCATGGTAAGCGATAATAAATTGATAGTTTCTTATCAATCGTCTCTACCTGAATTAATAGTCGTTATTTATTCTCAATATTGGCAGCTGAACTTGTAGAACGAGTTGTTCTGCTTGGAGCACCCATCTCGATTGCAGATGAGAAATGGGAAGCTGCTAGAAAGGTTATTAAAATTCTTATTTATTTAATTTTTTTTCCACTACTGAACTTTGCAGAATTTACATTTTTTTTTCTCGTCCTGCTATTTGCAGATGGTGGCTGGAAGATTTGTGAATGCGTACTCCACAAATGATTGGATGCTTGGGGTTGCTTTCCGTGCTAGGTATATGCATAATGGTTGTTTTGGGGGAGCCTTTGGTCACATACACACATACACACATACACACATACACACATACACAAACACAAATGAGAGTTCATCTCGACCTTGAACTAGCTTACGAGCTGATGTTAATTTGCTGATTTCCCACGACTGTAACTAATGATCACGTAATGAACAGTCTACTTTCTCGAGGATTAGCTGGAATTCAACCAATCAATGTTCAAGGGATTGAGAATGTGAGCTCTCTCTCTCTCTCTCTCTACTATTCGATATCGGATTGAAGATATTTCTTTCAATTCCTTGCTTTATCCAATGCTTTACAACCATGTCGGCTTTTATGAATAATCGCCTTAACAATATCAGTATTTTTTCCGTTTTTGCAGGTGGATGTAACGGACATAATTGATTCGCACTCTTCCTATCTTTGGTCTACAAAGCAGATCCTGGAGCTGGTTGAACTGGAAGGCTATTATCCCGTTCACAGGAGCATGATTTGCATAAAATAAACTTTACCTTGTGCTACGTCACCTTCTTTTCTTAGTTTCATTCCCAGTTTATTAGTACGAGTTTCGTATTTGCAAGGACCAAGAAGAGAGAGAACGCAACTGGATCGAGCTTCTTGCTTCGTATATCTTCCATATATTTGTAAGAGAACAAAAAAAGGTTCCATTTTTTGTGAATAAAATGTGTACATATTGTGCCTCTTACACTCGCAGAAACAGGTCCGACTGAACCCGCCTATATACCATACCGAATTCCACCGCCCCCAATCCCCTTCCTCGACGGTTGCTACCACCGACGCCCCTGCCCCCTCCCTTTACATTGCTGGCCACCGGAGTGAAACATATGGAGTAAATTGTCCCAAGGGTTAATACACATGAAAAACTTTTGCTATTTTGAAAACTTGAACGGAATTGATCACATCGACTAACAAAGTGAAAGAAAGATGATTATATGAGCTTAATGCAAAACCCATGAATTTGAACTTTCCATTCAGCTCATTTTGATAAACAAAAAGAAACTTAATGCTAAATTTACCTAAACTATGAAAAGAAAGATTAGAGATTTATGACTCGTTTGGATGTGCTTTTAAAATGACTGAAAACACTTTTAGAGAAAATGTTTTTTTGTTCCAAAAGCATTTTAAGTGTTTTTTTCAGAATTTACTTGTATTTTTACTAAAAATTGGTTCCAAAAATATTTTTATCAAAAGCGCTTTCAATCATTTTAAAAGCATATCCAAACTAGTTTTTATAGTAAGAAAGGTAAGATTTTAACGAATTTAACTAAACTCGGTTGCGTTGCATATTATTTTAAAGGAATGCTAAAGCTCAACTTTAATCATAAAAAAAAAAAAAATAGTCCGGTAAATTCGTAAGCGAGAGGAGAGAGCACTCCGTGCGAGTTAAAAACCATGTGTGGGGCCACCCGAGCAAAATGGGGGTATACAAACGAGACAGCGACCGCGACACGATGAGAAGAAGACAGTCACAGATGGCACAGTGACGACGACGACGACGACGACGACGACGAGGGCCGCCATGGATACGAACAACAATGGCAAAGACGAGCTCCCGGACCAATCAAAAGCCTCCAAAAAAGGCAGATCATGCAAAGGAACACTCTATTATTCCTCCGCCCTCAAATCCAAGGTTTACAATCCTCTCTGCGTCGGCATTCCTCGCGCCATCCCCGAAGGTCTCCTCTTTCCCTTTTTCTCTCCTCTTCGCTATTTTCTGTTTGGTTCCCGAGAAATTTTTTATAAGAAAACGTTAGTTCTTCACCAACGCACCAATTTTATTACCACAAATCTTACCAATTGCGGAACTTTTGGTACTCTTTCTTTTGAATTTTGAAAACTAGGGTTTCAACTTCTGGATTCTGGTTTTGTATTGGCTTGAGTTTATTGCAAAAGTTTCTCTTTTTTTCGTTTTAGCATTTCGCCTTAAATTTGAGATTAATGATGATAATTTTGCTTAGGAAATTAACCAAAGTCATCACCTTTGAGCTGCAATCTGCTTATATTTTCCTATAAAGGGTTTATCTTTCTTCGCCATTTTTGCAATTTAGATTTTTGAACCGCCTTTTTTTGTAGTTGAGATTGTTGGTTTGGTGTTTTTTCTTCTTTTTGTCAGTTGAAATTCGTTCTATCGTTGTTTTATTGGACTAGCTACTAATATGCAGATTTTGGTGACCAGTGCCTCAGTCAATAGTTGCAGAAACTGAAATGAAAGCTTCTAAAGATGATCGACATCTTACTGAATTTCGTTATGCTTGTGCTGGTTACTCTGTGTATTTGGATCGAATTACGAAAGACCATTCCAAGGAACAACCAGAATTGCCCGTTTGCTACGGTCTCGAGGTTAAATATGTCTCCTCTCTCCTAAGCCCTCACATAAAAACACAGAGAGTAAAACATTCTATTATGTGCTAATATGAGATGTGGGCAATTGACCTTAACTGATTTCTTCAATACATGGAGCTTTGCAAGTCGTTTTTCGTGTTTCTTTTATATTAATTGGATTAGCTTTTACTTTTATCCTTTTAGGGCTCATTTGATGCCTAGGACAGGACCGGAATGGATAACTCTTATAATTCACTTGACAATAGAGGTGAATGATTTTTCATTTTGAGGGGAGTAGTCATGGAGGAGGTTATCCTTGTAATCCTACAATTTTGGGGTGATTGCAAGGGATAAGTTTCCTTGATGGGTTATCCATCTTCTATCTTCAAAAAGTTGGACGCAATTTTTTCATTTATTCTGTAACATACCTTAAATATAGTGAATTATCAAACCTAATCCAAACAAGCCCTTGAATAGTGAGCTCTTATCAGATCATGCTATACAAGATCTAAATATATTGCATGATAACAAGCTATGAACCATTCATTAGAGGATGTGACTTGTGAGCTTCTGGTGCAATTTGGAGTTGGATCAATGCGTTTGGTGCTTAGAAAACTGGAAGTAATTAAGTCTATGCAGAAGCTGACTTTCTCGACACATGAAATTTCTACATAAAGTGCTTCTCCCTACATTAATCTTTGTTTAGCCAAGCATTCTGACTGACATGAGTTACTGCAGCTTTTGGTTGGCAAAAGAATGAATCAAAAGACACCTGCTGCCGCTCCTGTTTCTGCCCATGTCCCTCACAAACGGGGTAAGGAATTGAATTTTTGTTTACCCGCCTTTTTTCCCTTGCATCTCTCTTTCTAGGTTTTGCCTACAGTAGTTCGCCTCCAATGTAGTCAAGACTTTTCCTGCAAAACTGGCACGCAGATAATGAGGTCGCGTAAGTTACTTTGGTTGAACAGATTTTCACATTGGTTAGAAATGATGTATAAACTAGTGTTTGGTTTCTAGAATGATTTCGAAAAGTACTTGTGCACTTAAGTTAAGGTCAAATGTTACATTAAACATTTGTTGTCGCTTTATTTATCGTCTGTGATTACCTTTTAGATGATCATGAAGTCCCTCAGACTCAGAGGCAGCAACCGCCTCAGTCAGCCGGAAGTCTCTTCTTCAACAGGCAAGCATAAGATTCTTCGACTATTCAAGTGACAATTATGGAATCCTAGTTTTCTGAAACGTTATGCCTTATTCGTAATGGGTTTGTTAATGAATGTATAGGTTTACAAGAAACGCAGATCTTGTTGCTTCAGGGGTGACTAAGAACATACGTAGAGTTGGGAAGTACATAAAAGGAAGTATCTACGAGTTTCTATACTCGTACAGAGGGCGACCAAAGTAAGATTGCTTGTTGAAAAAACCAGACGAATAAACAAATAACTCGAGAAGCAGGATTCGGCTTGATTCCATATCTGCTATATTCGTCTTCGAGTCAGCTTGATTCCATATTTGCTACATGACAATCGTTTACAGTACTTTTGCGTTACGATTCTTGTATATAACCCTTGTAGATAACTTTCCCATCGTAGAACTGGTCGCGTGACTAACATATGAGCGTATTAGTGTAAGAGAAAAGTTATATTCATGGGTTGTATACAAGATTTTTCTAGTTCATGTAATGCGAGCAGATTAATAAGAGAAACCTATGGGCCTCGAGACAATTAGGGCCTATTTTGGGAAGCCCAAAATCACTTATGAAGAGAAGCGCTTCTAGTATTCTTCTGTATAAGTGATTTTATGCAAAACGATCAAAATTAAACATTGAAACAACTGATAACGCAAGTGCTCTGAAACTTGATTAGAATCTATGACCTCTCAGATGAAGCCAAAAGCATCTGTCACGAAATTAGCCGTAACCCGTCGAAATTGAATTCCTCGAAGGAGTAAGACAAAATTTGGAAACTCTTTCCATGTTGGATTTCTTCCAAAAAAAGAAAAGAAAAGGTTTGCGCTGTTTGGCACACAGGCTAATTTAACCAAAGGAGGCAGCAAACCGCGAAATCAACAGGATCTCCCGGTACCCTCCATCTTTTATGTTTCGCGAATCTCGAGACGGACAGGGGACAACAATCCTATCCAGTCCTCCAGGATCTCTCAGTGGGAAAATTACTATGTATTGCTCCTAGCTCTCCGGCTCGTAACTTTCCGGATAGGGATAGGTACTGGATCGGATTGGATTTTCAAATTGTAAGTGTAATCCTATCGTTTTCTCGGCAGCCAAACGGTCAACATTTCTTTTCCGTGCGTGCAGATTCACGGCAGCCAACCGATTGAAGATTTTGATTCGGAATCGATTGAGGGATTGAGATTGAGATTAGCATTGAGGAATCAGGTGCGGAAATCGAATTCGAATGGCCGCTGCTGCGGCTTGCAGACGGGTCGCCCAATTGGGCACCGGGTCGGGGATCGGATTATCCGGTTTCGGAGGGCCCGGTGGTGCTTCGAGAACGGTGTCTCCGTCGGTGGAGTACAGGCATTTGGATTGCAGGCTGACTTCTCAGCTAGTCAAATCAAATGGAAAGCGGTTGTTTCTCGTCGATACATTAGCTCTGGTGAGTAATCGAATCGCTTTCTCTTGAGAAATGATAATTTGAATTTTTGAAAATTGCATGATTGTGAAAAGACGTGATACAGAAAGGAGTTCCATGGCGTTCTAGGATTCATATAGCCGATCCCATTTAGTGGAAAAATGCTTTGTTGTTGTTGTTGTTGTTGCATGATTGTGAAAAGTCAAATGATGAAAAATTTACAGTGAGATTAGAGAAGTTGCAGTTGTTGGTAATTATGTGCTGCATTGTGTTTAGGTTAGGAGATTAGAGGGACAAGGCGTCCCCTCAAAGCACGCGGAGGCGATAACTGCTGCCATTACTGAAGTTTTGAATGACAGCTTGGAAAATGTGTCTCATTCATTTGTTACAAAAGGAGAGATGCAGAAAGTAAGGAGTTTTCATGTTTACTCTAATTTCCCCGTTTACTGATTACGTCTGTGTATGTTGTCGTTCATCAAATCATGATGCTTGTTCTAAACGTATGTTTTGCGTAATTGTTTATAGACGGAGATGATCCAAGAATCCAACTTGTCCAAATTCAAATCCGAAATTCAAAGTGCGCAGGTACTTACTAGCTCTTTCCGTTAGTCATTACCAATACTATGAGATCGTGGTTTGTATTTAGTTGTAGCTTTTTCTTCCTGGTTATGTTGATAATTGGATGATTCTGTTCTAGTTGCCGTTTCAAATCTTATTACTGTTATGCATGCAAACATTGACTGATTGGAATTTCTGGATTAAGCTTGGTCTTTATTTGTGTTTGTCTTGTGTGTAAATGATTTCCAAATTATTGACGATATGCCAATGGGACTGCATTTTGGGTTTTCAACGATGATGTTGTCTCCAAGCTCCTGTTAACATCCGTAGACATGAATGCAAGGCTACTCGTAATTTTCAGTTGCACTATTAGTGATCTTCATGAATTATGTGCCCTGAGCCCCCACCCTTTTTGTATGCGTATGACGGCATTATGATAAATGATTGGACCCCATCCTGGCATGGATCATATATATTGTGGACATCAACTACCTTCTTTTGGATGTTTAGTAGTGTTCATGTACCTAAAATATGATGTCTCCATTTTCTGAGTGGCTGTTGCATGGTGGGGTGTGCTTCTGACTGTGGATCTTACTGGCAGCCAAACATTTAGGATTTCAGCCATACGTTTAGTTACTGTGGTCGACATTTCATCTCATAACCTCCTACATGATCAAAAGGGTTATTCTCAATTCATAGGTTCCAGCATATATGGGCACTGGAATGGAATCAAACAATCCATTTGGAACCAATGTTTTATGACATTGACATTTTTTCAGTTTATTAGAATGGATTTGAATTATCAGTATTTCTACATTTTTTTGGAGCTGAATTTATTTTAGTTCAGCCGCATAATTGGTCCGGAATATGAATTCCTTAGTTGTTACTGTAATTACATTTTTCAAGGTTGACAACCATGTCTTTATCTCTCGCCATTTCTTTATCACAAGAAGGATAGTTATGTTGTTTTTCGAAGTGACCTTGACGTCATTAAGGTCTTTGTTTAAAAGTTCCTGGAAGGCTTTTCTAACGAGGCTGGACCTCGATGTTCCCTAAACAATCATTGCAAAGAAAAATAAATGTTTATTAGCTCCTGGGATATTGCCACTGGTTCTCTGAGAAAAAAAAAATGTTATGCAGGGACACCATTTTTCTTTGTTGCAACACGAGACTGAAAAACTTCGGAATGATATAGAGAAGATGCGCAGTGAATTGAGGTCTGATTAGTGTAGTTACTTTACCGTCATTATCTGTCTGTTTCTATGTGAATTTGTGGTTGCTTTCTATAATCATCATTACAGTGCAAATGTTTTCATTGTGATGCAGGTATGAAATTGACAAAGTTACCGCAGGACAGCGGTTGGACTTGAACCTGGAAAGAGGGTAAGTGAATACGTTAAATAATGCATAGTATTCTCTGAGTTCGTCAAAACCTCTGTTTGAGTCATGATATTGGCTCTCTTTGTTCATTCATATGGTTGATAAATGCAGGAGGATACGAGAAGAGCTATCTAATCAGAATGCTGAAACAAATAACCTCACTAACAAACTTGATCGGGTAAGAATTGGGTGACTACTTTTTCAATTAGAACTAGGAGCGCGCCGCACAGTCCTTTCACTAACGCTTACTTACATATTACTATCAGGAAATTCATGCTTTAAGGGCTCAGGTGGAAGCAGCAAAATACGATGTCATAAAATACTGCATAGGTACTCTTGTTTCGATATCTGCTGTCGGTCTTGCTGTACTCCGTATCCTGATGTAAACTTGTTCTATGGATAACGACGACAAATCCCAATAGGGGAAAACTGGGAAATGGTCCATTCTTTTCAAGCTGTTGTAATTTTAAGAAATGTGATGAAGATGTGAAAGATAAGGCGTAGTCATTACATTGTAAGTGGGATCCAAGGAAGAATTCAATTACGTAAAACTCAACTTATTGTCCCTTTTTTTTTTCCTTTCAGTATTTGTTGGTAAAGGATCTGATGTATTGAGTAGTTTCGTTTGTCAATTTTCCATTGAACTTGTACCCTACTGCCGATTTTCCCGCTAAACATTTAGTTTGGCAATTTTCTTCTTGAACTATTATAAATTGCCAATTTCCCCATAGTGTCGTGTTTTGTCACCTTCCATTCGGTTTTACATTTTAGAAGAGCCACGTGTCGATGTCGGGCATTAAATGTTGTTTGTATTTGTTCCTCTTCTTTTAAAATTTTATTTTTTAAATAAAATTTAAATGAAATGTGAACAACCATGGAGGGAAAAATTGGTTATATGCAATAGTGTAGGGGGTTACTAGTTAAAGGATAGTGTGATTCACATCTATTTTTACTTCTCACGTATCCTTGTTAAGTTTTTGTCATTGCTCTTCAATTGATTTGACCAGATGACCGAAAGATGTTCAAAAAAGTAAAAATGGTGTGTGGATAAGACTACCTCTAGTTAGAGCAACTCCACCTATAGAGCCCTCATCCTGGCAATCCACTATTGAATCCACCCTATTGAACAGTAACTGCCTTGAATGAATAGTAACTGACATTAATGAACAGTAATTGCCATTTGCATCTTCACCCTTGGAGCCCTTCTCCTGGCAATAGGCAATAAAATATTAGTTTTTTTTGTTTGTTTAAATAATACAAAATAAAATTATTTGTAATTTCGGATAAGATTTTTTAAATCGTTATTGTTGTGCCACGTGTCATTTTATATAAAAAAAAATTATTTAGAGATGGATTTCGATAAGATTTTTATCCAATGTCATTGTGCCACGTGTCGTTGTCTTTTGAGAATTTTTGACGATAGATTTCGATCAGATTTTAACTCGTTCAAAATTGCGTCACGTGTCATTATCCGAAAAGATGAGAAAATAGTTGAGAAAATATGAAATTGTGGTGTAAGGTAGATGGAGAAGAAGTGGTATTTATAGAAAAGTAAAAACAAATTTTTACAAATTTTTTTCAGATTTTTTACAATTTTTTCGGATTTTTAAAATTTTTATTCAAATAATTAATCTCTGCCGTTGGATTTAAAAATTTTGAATTCCAACACTCCAGATTGTGCCACGTGTCACAACGGTAACTTTTCTTAATTTTAAAACTATTTTTTTTAATTTATAAAGCAGATTAATATCAACAGTTGATCTCAGATCGAACGGTTGATATAAAATCAGTTTTTTTTTTTTTTTTACCGTTGTAAATCGGACGGTTCTTATTAAAGAACCGTTGGGATCTAACGGACCGTGGGAAGCCACGTGGCTTCCCAACCGTAACTGGCGCACGGGCCATCCCCCTGAAATCCTGTCGGGCTACGCGGCCCCACTCGCGAGTGAGGGGCACGCTCCTGACACAAAAAAAATAAAAATAAAAAGCCGGACCCAGCCCTTGCGTCAGCCTGACGTCACAAGGCTCGGGGGCCAGGCCTGTCAATTTTCCACGGGCCTCCCCCTCGGGCTCCCACCCTCACTCGGGCCCTTCCCCGCTGGAGTTGCTCCCACCGGCCCTCGGGCCCTTTCTCCTCGCCTGTCGCCCGAGCAACCAGCAACGCTAGCGTTGCTCTTAAAATTCAAGTTCAAAGGGAAAATTTGATAACGACGGACAGGACAAAATCGACACAATACTATTCTTAAATTTCAGTAAGTGATGGGTTGGGTTTGGCTGGGTCAACACCTTTTACTCACAGGATTTTGAGCTGGTAGCCTGGTATAGGCCTTAGTCAAAATTTGGCCCAATAATAAAGGGATCATACAAGAAAAATACTTTTGACTTTTTAAGTGGAAGCATTTCGCCACAAACAGTGCATCCTCTGAGCTGGGATCATACATGTCAACTGTCATCTGCTCTCTCTGCAAATCAACATGTACAGGTCAAAATTTGACCTCAATTAGGAATGAGGATTTTTTCGGATTTTTTTTATGAAGATATCAGGATTCTTTATCCGTTTAGGAATGAGGATCTTTTTCGGATTTTTTTTATGAAGATATCAGGATTCTTTATCCGTTTATCGTATATTATGCAGTCATAAATTATTATAATTTTTTTTATTTAAAATTAAATATAAACAATACCAGACAAAAACTGATCGTACGAGGTATGATAAATGAACACAATTAGAGAATCTTGAGATCCTCACAAAGAGGATCTGGAGAGGATCCTCATTCCTCAATTAGTACCCATCCAGATATTTTTCCCTCACTCCTCTTCCTCTAAAGAAATGAATAGAAGTTGTTAACATAATTTAATTGTGATCGTTAAAATTGAAGAAGACCAGAAGAAAAGAAAATTTGAAGAGAGAATTATATTCCATCAATATAATCTAAAGTGCTGTAAGTGCACGCAAAGCAACTGCAGACTTTTCTTTCCACTTATTTAATATGTTAAAAAAAAAAAACAAATGGAGATAATAGATTGGCAAATTGGCAAATGCAAAGATAAATAGGTTGGTGGCTCGGACTGCATTAATTTGGACAGGTATTCAATCCCAGTCCATCAGCCAACTCAAGTTAAATAACCAAACCACCCTACTTTATAAAATATGCATAATATTTGATACACATATCCCCTACTGTATCTGATTGGATTCCTTTTTCATGCTCCTTGTATACTCTGTCATCCATATTCAGGGTAGTTGAGGATGGAAAATATCGGATGGCGTCCCTTTCCAGCTCTCTCTTACTTACATAAACACAATCTGCTTTCACACACACATATGTAGAGAGTTACAATACACGAAGGCATATATTTTGACATCTATTTTTATAGTACGTAGAGTCTAATTTATATGTATTTCGACGATCAGAATTGTCTATATTTTATTATATCATTTATAAATCATTCTTATAAAAAATTATGCAAATCCAAGACTATTAAGACATTTATTTGTAGTGAAGAAAATAAACGAATATTGTTCTACAATGAAACACTAAATTCAATCAACAATCATATGGTTTCAAATTTAGGTGGTTTTTGGTAGACATTATCTTTAAGATAAGACATAAAAAAAAATTAAGACATAAAAGATAGACGGCTGGATCCCTAAAATACATTACAGAGTGAGTTCCATAAAAATGTGTGTCAAAATGTGTCACAAACGTGTCCCTAAATCACAACATATTTATATATTTTTTTATACATATTATTTTGATTCATGATCATTGATACACATAGAGGGCATTTGTTGCACCGGACTGTTTCGGACTGAATTAGCTTCAAGGACTAGACTTAATTAGATTGACTTAGTGAAGCATTTGATGTAGTATTAGATTACAAATAAAAAAATACTATAATTTTTATTAAATTATTTTCTTTTCTATTAACATTAATCTCTTTTCTATCAAAATTAATTTCTTCTTGCAATCCTTCTCCTACCAAACTCTGCTCAACTTCCCCTTCTCGATTTCTCCGGCATGCTCCTCCACTTACCTCTTCATAGTACAAGGAAAAGGCCTCACGTCCTCCTCACTTCACTTTTCACTGCCCACCTAAACTCAATATATTCATTCTCTCTCTCTCTCTCTCTCTCTCTCTCTCTCTCTCTCTCTCTCTCTCTCTCTCTCTCTCTCTCTCTCTCTCTCTCTCACGCGCGCGCGCGCACACAAACAGATGCTGATGCAGCTCAACAAGGCATTTACGACACTTCCTCCACACATAAATCGGTTGGAATGCACCATCAAGTATGTTATATGATATACGGTACTTCTTCTGGTCTTATACCACATTTAAGGTAGATACATAATTATACACAATTGGTTACAAACTTTCTTAATTACTAGTATGTTACAGATAATTTTGTCTATATATTAATTAACTTTTTAACATGATGAGAGATAACAAACAGTTGTATACAACTAGTTCATAAACAAGATCTCTTCGGGTCACTAGCTAGGGCACTTGTCTTGCAAAAATATGGAGCCACCAAAATGCATCAACCTGACTTGGGCACCATATATAGAGCCACGGGTAGTGCTACTTACACACTAATTTTTACTTCTCACATACTATTTTCAATTTTCGGTCGCCGGATTGAATTAATTGAAGAAGATCAATAAACAAAATTAATAAGAGTGAGAGAAGTAAAAAAAGGTGTGTGAACAGCACTACCCTAGAGCCTTCTTAATTATATTTAGATTTATATGTCAAAGTCCTACCAACCTTAATTCATTTTCACAATCATTCACTTTTGAGTAATGCTAGGGAGATTAAATTTGTAGACTAAGTTTTGTAAATTAAATGATATGGATATTGATGATTGAATTATTACTTAAACGTTGATAAAAGTGCTAATTTCTTATTAGTGACACATAATTTAGTTTGCAATTTTAGTCTATAAATTTAACCTCCACAGCATTACTCTTCATATTTTTTATGTAACAATTTTAACCACAAATAAATATATAAGTGACATGCAACAGTCAACTTAAATGTCAATTTTCACAACTGCTGAGGACAGCGTGAGCTACTTCTATCGTAAGCATGATTTAACATTATTCTACCGTTGTTCAAGAGCTAATTTTATTTAATCTTTATTCATTCATTTTTAAACAAAATAATTCTACTATTGCGCCACCGACCCAGAAAACAAATTGAAATCGTAACATAAGCAGTCCATCAATTTTTCCACCATGACAAATAATTTTTGTAACTCAGCCATTATATTTTTATTTCAATACAATAATAACAAAACAAAAAGGAAAAAAACAGGAAATTAACGATAAATTTGCATACATATTAAACAAAACAAAAGAGAGTGTCTATATACACAAAGAGAGTGAATTAAAAATTCCCTCACAACTGTTCATGTTCTCTTTGTAATTATTTTGTTTTTCAAAAGAACAATAAGAAAACGCTTGCAATTTACCTGTGCAGTTTTCACAGTATCATTACACTCCAAACAAATTCCACCACTGTTTCTCTCTCTGTTTTTTCATCACCATCAGAGTGGACAAACCACCCTTTTACTCGGTACGGCGATGAGTCGACTCGCTCTCGGAGCGGTGAGTCCAAACACGTCGTTCATGTCGAGCTCACTAGGTTTCATACCATCAGGCAACTCCCACGTAAAACAATGAAGCAAGTGTGCCACCGCCATCTCCAGCGCGTACAACCCTAGTTGCATGCCCGGGCACGACCTCCGACCGGACCCGAACGGAATGAACTCGAAGTTACTCCCCTTAAAGTCAGGCACACCTTCTTTCAAAAACCTCGAGGGCTTGAAGGACTCGGCGTCCTCCCACGAGTCCTTGTCACGTCCAATGGCCCACGCGTTGATCATCACACGCGATCTTTTGGGAATGCGGTAGCCGGCTACTACAGCGTCCTCCGAGGTCTCGTGGAGGAGTAGTGGAATTGGTGGGTGGAGTCGTAGTGTCTCTTTTAGGGCACATTTTAGGTATGTCAACTTCTCGAAGTCGGTCTCTTCAGGTCGACGGTCTAGACCCACCACGTCAGCAAGTTCTTGTTGGACCCTCTTTAGGTCCTCCGGGCTCTTCATCAGCTCCGACATGGCCCACTCTATTGCCGACGCCACAGTCTCCGTCCCGCCAAACATTACGTCCTGAAAGTACGTAGCATATATAATTAGCTTATTAATTTGCATATACAGCATGTTATATACCTAGTCAGATCGTCAATTTAAACAATCAGTTTCAAAATAATATAATATGTTAGACTTTCTATCTTCATTGTCTCAATACGCAATTAATATATCTGATCAGATAAAAAGAAAAAATTAGCCAAAAGTTTAGTCCAAGAAAACAGGTTACATAGACATTCAACCTGTGGGGTTATAATATAAATATGTGATATGAAATTGTGTAATAGTTATTTACCATGATGATGGCCTTGATGTTATCCCTAGTAAGTTTGATGGCGTTTTGCAAATTATCTTCAGATTCATATACTTTAGCTTCTTCACTGTAAAAAGCCAACAACTCATCCACCATGTCCGTTTCACCGTCACTCACTCCCTTACCATTCCTTTTCTTCTCCATGTGATCATCTATGATGGTGTCAATGAACCGATCCAAGGACTCACGAGCCTTAGCGAGTCTATTGTTTAGCCCCTGAGGATCAACCCACCCCAGGCTAGGAATAAAATCAGCAATATTAAAAGCTCCAAACAATTTGGAAAATTCCTGCAGTATCCCAATAAACTCATCCTGCCCTTCCTGAGAGCTCGTCCCGAACGCCGCCCGATAAATAATATTTTTCGTGAGCGAAAAAACCAACTCTCCGATGTTTACAGCCGAACCAACATGAACTGTGACGGTCCTAACCGATGAGTCCACTTCATCCCTGACAGACTCCCAGGACTCGGCGCGTTTGCGACTAAAGAGCTTCATGACGCAGAGCTTACGCATCTGGCGCCAGAAGGGCCCGTAGTGCGCGAAGGCCATGTCAGCGCGGTCGTAGGTGAGGTAGCTGATGGCGATGGTGGCCGGGCGGTTGGAGAAGATGTTGTCTTGGACTTGAAGGACTTGTCGTGCCACGTCAGGGTTGGAAATCGCAACCATGTGTAAAAACCCCATGCGGAGGTGGAATATGCCGCCGTATTTCTTGGCCAGCTTGGCGAGGCCCCGGTGAGTTAGTTGGTCCATCAATAACATGTTGCCAATAAGGGGTAGGCCTTTGGGGCCGGGCGGGTATGGTGGTGGTCGCCGGAAACGGAAAATTAGAGGGAGGAGAAATAGGAGTGGGATTATGAGCAAGAGTGGTGTCATGGATTGTAAGGGTTGCAAGGACTGCAGAAGATAATCCATATTGTGTGTGTTTCTTTTGTTTTTTGTTTTTACCTTTTTTCGTGGGTATGATTAGCAGAAGTAGCAGGGCAACCTCCAAATGTTGCTAAGTTGGAAGAGATATTATGGTGCCTTTTATATACAAAGTTTGTGCAACTGTTGGATTATTTATTTATTTTTTTAGTGCTACAGTGGAATTTGGTCAGGCTATCGAGAAATAAACTATTTAAAAACAATTGAGATTGTTTAGTTTTGTTTATAGTATTTTTATGGTATGAAAGTTGGAAAAGAAAAGAAATAGTATGGGACAAGAAACCAAGTTTGGGGATTTTTGGATTGAATCCCTTTTTTTTCTCATTATCCAAATTCGAGCCGTTTCGACGTTTATACTATGTTTGAATGGAGAAATTTAAAGTTATTAAGAAATTTTAAAATGACGAGATTTTATTTTCTAAAATTTATGAATTTTCTTATTTGATTAACCTAAAAGAACAATGAAATTGAGAATGAACTTTGTTAATTTTAAACTCTCAATCATAGAAATTGAGAAATGATACCTATTTACATGGAATTTAAACTTGGGAATTGGAGGTCCTAAATTCCAAGTTTTTCTTTCACGCTGAAATTCTAAATTTCTATGTTTATAAATTCAAACAAGCGAATTGGTGTATATCAATTTATAAATTCTGATTTTTATCTAAATTCTAAGTTTATTTCTTTCATCCAATCATAGTAGAGACGTAAGAATTTGATTATAAATATATGAAGTGTGGACTGGGAGTATTAATTAGTTAATAGTAAGACGCTCCACCTAAAACAAACAAGAAATGAGAGAGTTCGTAGAGTCTCCTCATAGGAACGATAGAGTCTACTCATAGGAACAACGTCACAAAATTGCTTCAATTTGACTTTGTCTGAAGTAAAACAACTGATATTTTTACAAATAAGTCCCAAATTAATAAAGCAAATTTCTACGCCACCATTTGTATAACAACAATTATATTATAATTGTCATTTACTATTCAACGTTACATAAATAGTGATCGAGGTTATGGAATGATATTGTTACACTAATGTTTGATGGTTATGAATGTCTTGTTATAGTATAGCGTTTATAGACGCAAGTTATTAAAAATAGACGTCAAGAAATCTCACATTTATCAGTATTCACTTTTGACTCTTTACCTTCACATTTGGTGTTATAAAATAATGTTAACATTCAACGTCTGGACTACAAGAAATATAAGGTTAATTACACCATAATCGTTAAGATTTATAGTCTAAGGTTACACAATAATAGTAAGATTTTAGTTACATAACACATAATGACATCATTATTGTTATAACAATATTAACTTTTACGTTATAGACATCATATCATGTTGTCAAAATAAAATATTATTATGCATATACATGATTACAAGAAAACATGGTTTGGTTATAAGATATACCTTATGTGGCGCCTTGAAATAATTTATATGTCTTGGAAACCTAAGTACATCTTAAACTGATTAACACGAAAGAGATATACATGTAATTAAGTTAATTAACAGAGATTTCGTACAGCAAATGGAATTGATTATCTGAAATTCCTTCAATAAAAGGACTAATAAATAAAACTAAACTTACAAGAAATGAGTTCAGCTCTTGCAATTTAGACAAAATAACTTACAGACGAATCTTGGATAATATGTGTTGACATTTTTTTATTAATGTTTTCCTGAGAAAAATAAATTAATGGTTCTAAAGTTCAACCATGGCTGGAAGGCAACAAGAAGAGCTGCTGCCATTGTGGACTTTCGTCGAACTAGTCACATACATGTGAGGCATATTGGTCCTCTCCACCCAAATATAAATATATTCACCAAATTGATCGAATCTCATGCGATTGTTGATTTGTTTCCTAAAAAAATATCATGTAAATCAAGTTTTAGTTATCAGTTGGGCACTCTTTTTAGTCTCTTATATTTTTATTGAATCATATATATATGTGTGAGTTACATATTGGTTCCTTAAATTACTAGTCAAATTATGATGGTGCTTCTTTGGAAAACAAATCTTGATTTATTTTGTGGGTTTCTTTTTAATTTTTGGGTAAAACCCTAATTGGCTACACCTAACCCCCGATCTCTTCAATGTGAATCATACATGATTAATCTATTAGTAAGTATTGTATCTGAAAGGTGATAGATTTGATGCTCGACCTTATTAGCCATACCAACACTAGTACAAAAATATGTTTGCGCGACGGAAACTTGCGCGACGTAGCAAATTTCGTCGCGCAAACATACTTTGCGCGACGCTACAAAGAAACCGTCGCGCAAACATACTTTGTGCAACGACACTTTGAGCGACGCCAGGCTTCGTCGCGCAAAGATGTTTTGCGCAACGTAGGTACCCCTGCGTCGCGCAAGGCCGTTTTGCGCGACGCCAGGCTTCGTCGCACAAAGTTTTGGCGCCAAATCAAGATAATTTACCACTTTTTTCCTAATTTGCGCAACGCTGGTGCACATACGTCGCGCAAAACATCTTTGCGTGACGTAGGCATCCCTGCGTCGCGCAAAACAGCTTTGAGCAACGTATGTCTTTGTCGCGTGAAGCTGTTTTGCGCGACGTAGGGGTACCTACGTCGCGCCAATATTTTTTTTTTTTTTTGGGCCTATCTTTTGGGGTTCTTGCATTGCCTTTTTCTTTTGTTGTATCCACTTGTGTAAATGTTTTAAATTGACGATCGAATTAATTCATTGTATTCATATAGGGTTAAGGAATGTAGCTGTAAAAAATCATCAAAATCGGAGTTAAAATAACCGTTAAATCGTGATTTTTCATTTATCGCCGTCGAAAAGGTTTGTCCCATTACTTGATATCTGAATATTATTTTTTTGCAATTTTTAGCATTTGCGATCTCGAAACATGTACAAACAAGTTTGACGGTTGGATCGTTGAAACTAATTTCGTACAATGCGTTTCCCATCAAAACAATAGATTCACTAACACTTAGAGTTTATTTATACTTTCATTAAGTATAATATAAAATTTTGTGGTATTCACTTCTGTAAATGTTTTAATTCGTTGATCGAATTAGTTCATAAGCAAAAGGGAAATACATATTTAAAAAAAAACAAAAAAAAAAGAAAAACAAAGGCTTTGCGCGACGTAGGTACCCTTGCGTCGCGCAAAACATCTTTGCGCGACGTAGGCCTACGTCGCGCAAAGCGTTTTTTTTTTTTGGACCTTTTGCTTTTCTTTTGGGGTTCTTACATTGTCTTTTTCTTTTGTTGTATCCACTTGTGTAAATGTTTTAAATTGACGATCGAATTAGTTCATTGTATTCATATAGGATCAAGGAGTGTAGCTATAAAAATCAATCAAAAATCGGAGTTAAAAATAACCGTTAAATCGTGATTTTTTCGTTTATAACCGTCGAAAAGTTTTGTCCCGTTACTTGATCTTTTGAATGTTTTTTTTTTGTGATTTTTTGGCGTATGCGATCTCGAAGCATATACAAACAAGTTTGACGGTTGGATCGTTGAAACTAGTTTTGTACAATGTGTATCCTATCAAAACAATAGATTCACTAACACTTAGAGTTTATTTATATTTTCATTAACTATAACATAAGATTTGTGGTATCCACTTGTGTAAATATTTTAAATTGACGATCGAATTAGTTCATTGTATTCATATAGGATCAATGAGTGTAGCTGTAAAAAATCATCAAAATCGGAGTTAAAATAACCGTTAAATCGTGATTTTTCGTTTATAACCGTCAAAAAGTTTTGTCCCGTTACTTGATCTCTGAATGTTTGTTTTTTACGATTTTTGGCGTATGCGATCTCGAAGCATATACAAACAAGTTTGACGGTTGGATCGTTGAAATTTTTTTTTACAAATTTAAGCTTACGATTTTCACCATTTAAGTATTTTTGGCCAGCTAAAAAAACCACCAGGGGACCTAATCGAATGTTGAAGCAGTTAGAGGGCGCACGGCAGAACGGCTCCAGGATCAAGATTGTGTATGACCCGCGACATTGTGGAGCGGCTACCTCACAGCAGCATAGCGGCATCGCTACTAGTTGTGGTGTTGTTATTCGAGATAATTGTCCCTTTCAGCGGGGGTCTTGGGCAAAAATTCCCGAGGAGACGAGGACATTAGTGAGAGACAGGTTGTTGGTTAGTATATTTAATTTTAGCTGTTATTATTTTTTAAATTTTGTTTACAAATATTCAAAACCAAAATATATTATCTTAATATTATTAAATTTGTTACAATTATTTTATTATTTTTCATATTCGTAGTGCGTTTATGATCTTGAGGACATATCCCCTGAGGCTATGGCCTACTTAGAGGGGACCTTAGCAACCCGATACAAACAATGGAAGAACAATTTTCACACGCTTTTTAAGCAATGGAATGATCCGGAGATTGCTCGTCTACATGTTCCAATGGAGTTGAAGGACCGGCCAGAGGATTGGGAGTGGCTCTGCAAACATTTTACGGACCCAAAATTTGTGGTATATACATAATATTTTAATAATAATTTATTATTGTACATGTTATTTTTTTAAGCTTTTTTATTAATTTTATTTCAAATAGTCGCACTAGCATGTATATTGTGTGTTTAACAGAAGAAATCTATTGCTGGCCAGAAAGCTCGGGAGTCAAAGACACTTCTCCACCATTCTGGTTCAAAGCCCTTTTCGTATAGGCTTGAGGCACGACGTGAGGTAAAAGTAAATTAACTTTGAAATTTTATACAATTTATTTATTATTATTGATTAATAAATTTCTTCATGTTTTTTTCTTCAGGAGGGTTCTATGTGTTCCCAGAGATCGACATGTTCGAGGAAGTTTACGTTCGACCTAATAATGAGACCACTAAGCAACTTCATGTAAGTATATGTAATTATCATTATTCTTATATGTAAGAATCATTCAAATATTATCTATATTTTGTTATTAAACATTATATGTTTTTTCTTTATTATTACAGGCTACTATGGTGGAAAAAGAGATGATGTTCTCCACGAAGCAACATCGCAGCTTCCCTCGGAGACTCCGATCGAGGACATCACACTACCTGAGGATGTAGGTTTTCAGATCATGACTGATGTCCT